CCTGAAATCATGCGGCCAGAGCACTGAGAGCATCGAGAGCTTACTGGGAGACAAGTGGGAGACAAGTGGGAGACAAATGGGAGACAAGTACAAAATCATGCGGCCAGAGCACTGAGAGCATCCAGAGCTTACTGGGAGACAAGTGGGAGACAAGTGGGAGACAAGGGTGAAATCATGCGGCCAGGAACACAAGCCCGGAGACAAACTCAAAATCATCCGGCCCGAGCATGCACCCCCCTAAAAGGAGTAAGAACCCCTCACAGGTAAACCTGTTTGGGGAAAAAGAGGGGGGGGGGGAAGCTCTGAGAGGACCTTGATATGATTGACTCTAATGCTGGGATTGACAGTTTGACACAATATCGCCCACCACCTTCTTCTTCTGTACTTGCGGTAGGGCAGAGATGTCCTCAACTTCGCAGTCGCAAAAAGTCTGAAGTCGGTTCTCGCGGCATGAAGCAACCCAAGGTTAGGTGCCAAGCAGTGCTACGGTTGTCCTTGCAATTTGGCCACTACAGGGTCAATGGAAACATGCAATATCATGCAACTAATAATTTAAAAGCTATATTGCGACTCGACGCAACATCCCACCTTTGCTCCATTCGGCTGAAGCCCATCAAATGAGACAATCTGCAGCGTGCTTTGGCTGACCTTGCAGAACTTTGTTCGCAAGTCAGCCACTGAGCTCCCAGCTCCTTGCGTCACTGGCTCTAGACTCTAAGGTCCCAGCAGAAACGGTATAAGTTGTCCGGAAGTCACAGGATGATAGTGCCAAATCTGCCTGAAGGTCCGGAAGCCAACAAGTGGAGCCCCGTGGACAGCTTCCAGCAAATGCAAGCAGCCTTGCTCCAGCAAACTGCATAGGTTGGCCAGCTTGAACGTGGAGTAGCACCCCCTGGCAACCAGAGCTAAAGACTATAATCGTCACAGTCACATGCAGGGACCAGTCAAATTCACATTAGCAAGTCTGGGTTCAACATGCAACCTTGGTTTCCCTCAGTTCTCACATTGTAGGAATCTTCCACAACTTCAATCCCATGAAGAAACACCTTCCTTTCTCAGAGCTTCTTGCCTTCTGGCATTCTTGAAGTCCAGCTCCAGGCGCCATGGTCAACCAGAAATTGATCAAGCCATGTGAGGTGCTGACAATTAGTGCCGTTACTCCTGCACAAGGAGGTAATGCTGGGCAATGCAGTGCGCACTGGGGGCAACCCTCCATGTCATCCCTAGGTTCCAGACTCATCTAGACTACCACAGGGAAAGAACAACATGCACGGTTTAAGAAAAGAGTCAAAAGAGCTGGACTTCCGTTGACTTGCCGTAGATCGTAGACTCGACTTCCAAAGTCTAAGTCAGATCTTCATGTGTAAGGGAAACCAATCAGGAAAAGTAGGCCGGGCCGCGGTTTTATGTGCAGCTGGCTGCCTGAAAGGCATTGCATCTGTCGCAAATCACCGACTTCTGCTTGGAGATGCTTGGAGTATCGCGCCAAGTTTCTGCAAACGGGATCTAGCATTTGGCGCCGGACTGGCCCTGTGAAACCAACAGCCGTTGCAGCCACAATTGGACCACACGACCCCTACCCTACTTCACACAAAAGAAGCATGCATACTACATTCCTGAAACAACTTTGGCCAGAAAGCACGGACTGAACGGAGTTTGGCAGTCGTGCTGAGTGCTGATGCGAAGACATTTCCAATCATTTGAGTTCTGACTCCAGCTTGCCGCGATCCGTTCGCAATATCTGTGTATATACGCGAATTGGACATCAGAATGTGAGGTTCCTAGCCTCATTCCTCCAAAAAATCTGCTTCGCGCTGTGGTTCCTGCCATGGATCTCCACTGCATTTGCCAGTTTTGCCACCCCCAACAGTAAGAGCCTGGCCTGGATTCCCACGTACAACCACACAGACAATATTCCACCAAGGCGGCCAATGATGCGGCACTCAATGGTATAGAACACGTCCTTTCGGCTCAAGGACCAATGAACAAGCTCTAGCAAATACCCACGACACGACTGGAATCGAGCCAAACATGCCAAATCCGATCAAAATTGTGTCCTCCTCATCTGAGTCTATGATTTGCTTGTACCTCAAAGAAGAGGGTAAGAGAGAGAGAGAGAGACAGAGACCAAATCATGTCTCATGTCCGGTTCGTTGCTTGATACTTTTTGAGCTTAGGATCTCTTTGATCTGCATCAGGTACTGCCGTATGCTTTCTTGGTCTGACGTGCAAAAGTGCACTGGGAAGCCCTTGAACTTCTTGCCACGCTTGATCGGGAAGCTATCCTAGCGCCAGCAAATGTCAAATAGCCGTTTACGGCAACTTACTCACAGCACACAAATGCATACGGGCCCTTTCTCATATCTATCCTGCCTATCTTGTCTTGGTGAATTGGTGAAAGGGTGCTGTGTTCATTCGCGCTAAGCCCCGGCGCGGCAACCGCCAAACCAATCATGGAAACATGACATGGGAGCATCTAGAAGCCGATCACTTGCAGCATAATTAATTGCGGCACTATGCCCTGCTTTAACCTGAGAAGATGCAAAACGAAAGCCAGCGCTTCCATTTTTGAGGTGGCCTGAACAATGGTTTTAGGGCAGCAAACGCCTGGCCCCAGGCCACCTTGAATTTCGTTTGAAAAAACATTCTGTTCACACATAGATAGTTCCCATCCACATTCAGATGAAGCAAAAGCCAAAAAACGTACATTGACCTACATTGACCTTGCACCTGGTCGAACATACGATTGGTTGTCATATGATTGGAAGTGCATTCGTTCAAGTAGAAAGTTGTTAGAGCAAAATTCGAGGTGGCCTGGGACCAGAGGCTCGCTGCCCGAAACTATATTTTCAGGCCACCTCAAAAATGAAGATATGCGAAGCAAGTGTCCTGAGGTGTCTCTGTGACAAGGCTTTTGTTAAAACAGAGACCAGGGTTTGCTGCCCTAAAACACTCTGTTCAGGCCACCTTAAAAATGAAGGTCTGCGAAGCGAGAGCAAAGGATGCACATTGTCCTTCTGCTGCTTGAATGTTGCCTTTTGTTTACTTAAAAGTTCAAGACCTCCCAGCTGTTTCCACCTCTTCGCTTCCCAGTCTTCCCAGGGTTCATATAGGGAGCCAGGCCATTTTGAGAATCTTCTGGGTTTGAGCTGTTCGAGTTCCTATTGAGGGGCATATGTTCTAGTTGGCGAGTGCGTCACCACCCGCTCCAAAAGCATCAAAGCATCACCTCCCAGAGTTTACGTATATCTTTCTCGAGCCACACATGCACAGCAAACCACAGCTTTGAAGTCTCGTTCGTGCTTTGAACTTGTATAGGTGTGTAAGAGGTATAGCAACATAGCATTTATACGGACCCAGGGTAGCTACAATTCTGTTCCCAGGTATCGCGCGCATGAGGCTTCAAAGCTGCGGTTTTCAAGCTAAGTTCAAGGTGGCCTGAGACCAGGGTTTGCTGCCCTAAAACACTCAGTTCAGGCTACCTTAAAAATAATGAAGGTCTGCGTGTGGCCTTTTGTTTACTTAAAAGTTCAAGACCTCCCAGCTGTTTCCACCTCTTCGCTTCCCAGTCTTCCCAGGGTTCATATAGGGAGCCAGGCCATTTTGAGAATCTTCTGGATTTGAGCTGTTCGAGTTCCTATTGAAGGGCATGCGGCATATGTTCTAGTTGGCGAGTGCGTCACCACCCGCTCCAAAAGCCATCACCTCCCAGAGTTTACGTATATCTTTCTCGAGCCACACATGCACAGCAAACCACAGCTTTGAAGTCTCGTTCGTGCTTTGAACTTGTATAGGCGTGTAAGAGGTATAGCAACATAGCATTTATACGGACCCAGGGTAGCTACAATTCTGTTCCCAGGTATCGCGCGCATGAGGCTTCAAAGCTGTGGTTTTCAAGCTAAATTCAAGGTGGCCTGAGACCA